CACACTGGGTACAAAGCAGACATGTGTACCAAGTGCTGCAGAGACTCAGGCTGCACGTCCAGCCTATAGTTGGTTCCCAGTAACTGTCCAGGATGGGAGGGACAGGGATGGAGAAATCCCAGGCCCAACAGAAGCAGCCCAGGCACAGTGACGAGAGGGAGAGGTGTCTTTGGAGCCTTTTCTCCTGCCAGCCTGTTATATTCGAGATTCACAAGGCCGCAGGACAGAGAGACAGAGTCACCAAAGCTATAATTATCAAAAGGAGTTTTATTGTCTAGCTCAAGCTAGGGTCCGAGCCCCCAGAGTGCCAGCGCAGTGGCCTCTTCTTCGGGCAGGGACCCTCCTTTGTGTGTTAGTGACCCTTTCATAGCAAAGTTGTTTATACACTGATCATGCATCCGCCCCCACAGTGATTCTTACTTCATCCTGCCCCTGATAGGCTGTAGCCTGTTCCGGGTCCTAGCTGAGAGACTCTGGTTTCCACATTCTTTGTCTTTCTCCTCTGCATCCCATAATGCACTCATAATGCCTTGCAGTTAGCAAACAAGCAGTAAACAGAAGCTGGAAGGTGTCCATTGTCCTTATAGCCCAGTATCTTACAAGCCTCCCCCTCCCACCCTCAGGCACATGTGTAGGGCCACTCTGGGCACCCCAGGAGCCCAGCACCCTAGGAGCAGTGCCCTCCTTGCTCTCCCTGGGACCCCTGCTTCCCTGCCCACTTCCTCCTGGCTTTCCCTTGCTTCGGGGCTAGCTGGAGGACAGTTGAATCAGATGAGCTAGGAATGGCTGTTCAGTGGCTGGAATTCCTTGAACCTTTACCAGTGGCAGCTGGTATGTTAGGTGGCCTCCCGATCCAGAGGACTCTACCCTGGAGGAGCTGACTAGGGAGGAGGGAGCCTTCTCAGGACCTCCCTATTCACATCCTTTTAGGTGTGAAATGTTGCTTTATCCAGGCCAGGCCCCAGGCGATTAGTAATGGCATTTCTATGTTTGTGGAACAAGTTTAAAGTCTACTTTAGGATGAATGGTCAAAATCCAATGTGTTTGAAATGAGGGTTACATTCAGTTGATTAGTATGATATTTGGCATTTGCAACGGGAGCCCTTAACGGTGCCATCTTTTTGATTTAGGGAGGGTGGAGAAGCAGCCACTCTACAGTGCTGAGCAGGTAGGGGTGAAGGGCGCAGTCTGAGTCCAGGTCATGGAGGCATGGGCACATTCCTCCTTCAGTTAGTGAGCCCAGGAAGCGTAGGGCATTTTTATATTCGCAACTATTTGTGTTCTGAGCAAGAGGTTTTTACTTGTACAATTGCAACAATACTGATCAATAAATTCTTTAAGTCCAGTAAGCTTATACAATCCAACAACAATTAGGACATGTGAGGTGAGAAGAATCCCAGGGGATCCCAGTCCTTCTCTCTTGTAGGTGAAGAAACCAAGTCCCTGGATCGTAACTTGCCCAGGGACCCACAGCTCGTCAGTAGCCTGATTTCTAACGTAGCAGAGTGAGTGCTTCATGCTCTCCTTCCAAACTTCTGTTTGTAAATCTAAGATGTTTCCGTTGCTTCCAACTCAGAGGGCTGACAGCAGAGCCTGTCGTCTCCAGCTGAGTTCCCAACAGCCACAGTGATGATGATGATGGTGCCAGTAAGAGCTGCTGACATTTATTAAGTTCTTAATTAAGTGCTTTAAATCCTTAATTAAGGGCACCACCCTAGAGATATGTGCATTTTCCCATTTTAGAATTGAGGAACTGCAGCACCATCCCCGGGTCACATAGATAGGAAGAGGTGAAGCTGACACCCGTCGGCTCTCCTTGGGGCTGCCCCTCCCTCCTGTGGGACTGCCGGGGGTCTTGCCCCTGGAGATCCCATACCCAAGTTCCCTTTGACATTCCCACTCCCTTCCCACTCCCACAAATAAAGACAAACTCTGAGGTACAGCACTTAATAACTGCTCACTCCCTGCCTGAGACCCTCCAGTGCTCTGGTGTTCCTCTCATCACTGCTACTGTCACGCCTGTTGCTATTCTTGTCATCACTGGCACAGTCTCTGTGGCAGTGCCAGGCCCTCTTGCAGGGCCCCAAGGTAAACCTTCTTCTGCTTGCCTGCTGCTGTCATAGTTGTCTCCATCTGTCCTCTCACCAAGACCTCACGTCTTCAGGAACCAGCCTCTTATGGGAGGTGGGCAGGACAAGTTCTCCCCCAGCTGGGTGGCTCCCGGGGTGGTGGCTGGGAGTGGAGGCTGTGGTAGGATCTCCAAGGCACTTCCGCTCCCAGCCCCGGGGACAGCGCTTTCATTTGCTGCATTCCCTGTTCTGGTCTGGAAACCCAGCCTTTGTTCTCTGGGCCTTTTGCTGCAGAGTTTGATAATTTTGAGCTTGGGAGTCAGACTTGCTAATTTTAGTAAAATCAAAGAAACAGAGGAAAAGCAGAACCAAGTGCATATCACTTGAATTATTGCATTAAAAATTTCCTTAACTCAAGTGATTTCCTTTTTTCATTTGAGATGTCATCTAGGGAGTTTTCAAAGGCTGATTTCCTTTGGGGATCAGAGAGGCACCTGGGTATGCTTCTTGGCAGAGTGAGTAATAGTTTCTCTCTGTTGAGAAAAAGCTGATACCATTATGGACTGTGGCCATTTAATATTAATGTTAAACACGTTTTATGCTGGTGATCTGATGGGTGGTTTGGGAGGTTGGAGAGCCTGAGTAAAGGAATCCTTTTTACTTTGAGATGGAAAGTGGAAAGACCATTACATAGTCCCTACAAGAAGGTCAATAGTATAACTTCTGCATCAACCCAAGCGTCATGTTTGGTCCAGTTGCTAAACTAGGGGACTGTACAGCTGTCCAGAAAATGTGTCACTTTGACATCTAGTACCTAGAAGTACATACAAATCATCCTTTTAATATTAATTATTTGTTTTTAAAATAAGATAATTTGTTTTAAAATCTTGACCAGAATTACACGACTAATATTAAGACTTCTACCATCATCCTTTTTGTAAAAGGCCAGAAGGAGTTACCATTTAATGAGCAAAGTTTCAGTTTGGGATGATGAAAAATTTATGAATGGTAGTGATGGCTGCACAACATGCAGAATATATTTAATGCCACTGATTTGTACACTTAAAATGGTTTAAATGGTACATTTTATGTTATGCCTATTTTACCACAATGAAAAGATTTGAAAATAAACAAGAAATGAAAAAAAAGCAAGCTAGTGTTTGCAGAAGTGGAACTAGGGCTTTTCTCCAATTGCAACCTCTTCCTGCCCCCATTTTCTTTTCCTATTTTAGTGAAGCACAACATACGTATGATAAAGTGCATTAAATACACTAACAGCCTTAGCTATACAGCTCAGTGGATCTGTGCATGTGTCTACACCTGAGTAAGTGCCATGAGGTCAAGGTGCAGAAGGCTGCGGCGCCCAGAGGGCTCTTTCCTAGGCAGAGCTCCCCAGAGGTAAACCATACTCTGACTTTGGGTTTTGCGATTCTTAAACTTCATGTAATTGGAGTAAGGCGGTATATACTCTTTTGTGTTTGGTTTCTTTCACTTAGCATAATGCCTGTGAGAGCCATCCACTTATTGGGGTATCAGTCATTTTTTTACTAATTGCTATCTAGTTTCCATTGTATACTATACCATTGTTTAGTTTATCTTTTCTGTAGAAGGACATTTGGGTTGTTAAAGTTTTGGGCTGTTATAAATAAAGGTGCCATGAACATTCTTTTGATGAAACTATATACTTGCTACTCTTGGGTGTGGATCTGGGATTGGGATTGTCAAATCATAGGGCGCTATTTCAGCTTTGGCATTTACTGCCAGTTTCCAAAGCAGCTGTACCAGTTTGTACTCCCGCCAGCAGGGCGTGAGTGTTCCAGTTGCTCCACAGCCTTGAAACCAACACTTGATATCTTTTTACTTTCAGGCCTTTGGTGCAGGGGGTTATATCCTGAAATTTAAATGATGTAAAAGTGGAAACTTTTTAAAAAATTGTGCAAATATTTAAATTTCTAACCCTCAATAATTGACCCCAAAGTCGGTGGAGCAGGTTGGATCAGGGCCTTTTGCCCTCTGCCATTATGCTGGGCAGAGGCTGCCCACTCCACACCTCCATTGACTTGCCTTTTCCGTATTGTTTGCTCCAGATCTCAGCTATATTAGAGATGGCTCTGGGCATCAGTCTGCCGCTAGTCTTCTGCTACCATTCCTCTTTAGTACTATTCTTTAAAGAAGACAGCAGTGGTTGAGCAAATTTATTTGTGGTTTTCTTAACCTTGACTGTGATTTATCTGGGCCTGAAGTAGCTAATTTAGGAGTCTCCCTTGTTAGATTTCAGTACCTTTCAACATATGTTGCTTCTTCCCCTGTCATAATAGGGAAGAGAACAAAACAAAACAAGAGAGGAGGGTCCTGATTTCTTCCTGTCGTCCATTAGCAGTGTTCTCTCGGCTTCCCACAAAGTTCCTTTCTTGCCTTTGAACATGTATTCTAGATGACATAATCTACAGATTGCTCCATGGTGAGCATGTGGCAGATATTCAGATTGTTTCTCTTCCTCTGTTTCCTGCAGACATATGTCATTAAGCCTTTTTTTGTTGTCCTCGAATTTCTTTTATATTGCCCTGCCCTGCCTTCTGCGCATCTCTCAGTTCATTTTTCACCAGCTTCCATTCTTTTTTTCTTCCCCCACAAGGAAAGCAGACTATTTTTTTTTTACCAGTACTTAAAGTGTGATATGATGGATGCTCTTCATCCATAACTTTATACTGCTCTTGGAAACAATAATGGTAGATCATATGCTAACCTGCAAATGACAGAAACAAATTTATCTAGCTTTGCATTTTTTTCACTTCACCCTGTTGTGCTACTCAAAACACCATTATTGTATCTTGATGTCCAGACACATAGTCCTGTTTAGGTGCTTTCTTGGTTTGTAGCGCTCCTTACTGAACCCATAGCTCTCATCCTTCCCTCTGACCTCTCTTGTAGCTCAAGAGGGCCAGCAGTGAAGACATGCTCAACAAACCCGGAATTGCCCCTGCGTCCGGAGTGGTTCGACTGAAAAAGACTATGACAGCAGGAGTCGTCTCTGAGCTCACGGAGAGCCGCCTGAGGAATGGGACAGGTAGGAGGGACCCAAGCAGGCCATTCATCTCGGCCCTATGAAAGCACTTCAATGATTCATTCATTCCTTCCTTCATCAGATATGTATTGAGTACTGAACTTGTGCCAGGAACTGTTTTAGGCAGACAATATCCCTGACCACAGGGAGTTTACATCTAGTGGGAAGAAAAATCAGAAACAAAAAGGTAGCAGGTTTCCTCTGTCCCTCCAATGGTCCATTTGTCACCACACGTGTGAAATCCCTTTGAGATCCAGGCAAGGTGGTGTATGTTCTGGGGTCATCTTGGTGCAAAATGCGTGAGATGAATGAATGAACCTTGTAGATCCATTGCAGAGGTGGGTGTCCAATACTTCCTGTGGAAAACCAGGAAGATCCTCACTTACCTCAGAAGTGGCATAAGGGCTGCTCAGACTTGCTTAGATGGCAGTGGCAGCTGGAACCTATGAACTCTCTTAGCATTACTAGTTTTTTGAGGATCAGAAAAGTGTTTTGAATCGTATTTGAGTTCAGAGCACGGGAAACAAAATAACAAATAATTTATTTAATTTTCTCCTTGAGCATATAGATAAGACTTTTAAGCTTTCCATGGTCTGTCTCTCTCTCTCTTTTTTTTTTTTTTTTTTTGACAGAGTCTTCTCTGTTACCCAGGCTAGAGTGCCGTGGTATCAGCCTGGCTCACAGCAACCTCAAACTCTTGGGCTCAAGTGATCCTCCTGCATTAGCCTCCTGAGTAGCTGGGACTACAGGCATGTGCCACCATGCCTGGCTAATTTTTTCTATTTTGAGTACAGATAGGGTCTCGCTCTTGCTCAGGCTGGTCTCAAACTCCTGACTTAAAGTGATCCTCCTTCCTTAGCCTTCCGGAGTGCTAGGATTACAGGGGTGAGCCACTGTGCCCAGCCTCCATGGTCTAACTCTTATAATGCAGCCCTTAGTATGTTGCTAAATTGTCTAAGATGGGAAAATAACTGAAATACATTGTTATTAATTTATAGTAATTGTTAAAGGGTAGTATAGTTATGATTCTTGCACTCTTCATAAAACATCACATTCCGGACTAGCTTTTCAAAGGTATACTTTAATTTACTCAGTTTTCAAGAAGTTGAATCTGTGCAGATTATATTTGGCTTTTTATTTTCTGGATATAAGGGGAATGGCCTGGTGTTTCTATATAATAGTTTTACTATTTAAAAGACTGATTTCAGAGACCTGCAGACACCAGCCCAGAGACGGCCACCGCCAGCGAGCGGTGAGCCTGTAGCGGACGCAGCTCCTAACTCCCTCGGGGCACCTCTGTGTGCACAGACCCGAGCCGTGTGGCAGGCGCCATATTGCCTCCTTCTCCCCTCCCCTGACCCTACCCGCGGCTGCCCAGAGAGACAATACAGCCACCAGCCGGAGGCACCTCCAGGGAACAGGACCTTCCCTTTTGGGGCCCTACAGCTGACTGAGGGGAACTCAGACTGTGAGCTCTCTACCCGCCAGCCCTCCCAGGTGCTGCTGGCACGGTGTTCCCAGGAGAACAGTGCAGACTCAGAGGCTGAGAGACATAGACCCAGCTTGGGCTCCCTGTGGGTGAATTGGGACTGGCACTCCTTTCCCTGGTGGGGATAAGGATTGAACTCCAGGGCCCAGAGGTCACACCTGCAGACCAGATCCTGTGCACCCAGGTCTCACATTCCCCGGTGCACAGAAGGGATATATGTGAACAGCCTACTGAGGTGTGTGTGCCTTCAGGGACAGATCAGCATCATAGAGGGCAACCTCTTCCCAAAGGGGGGCCCTGTGCCCAGCCCAGGTGGCGTTGCTGCGCAAGGAACCTCCCGGCCAGCATCACAGTCAGGGGAGGCCCCGTGGCGTGAGGTCTGGCCTGCTGGCAGAGGCCTAGGAGTAGCCGCAGAGTTGGGGAGGGTGGAAAGAAGTGAGGCCTGCTCCAGACTGCAGGTCTCAGATGGCCCCACCCCACATGTAGACCTTCTGACTGAGTGGGGCCATTCCAGCCCCTCCCTGGCAGCTTTTCCCAGAAGCAGAGAACAGAACTTTGACCCCTGCTAACGACATTGGTGGTGCCCGAGGGCAGGCTTGACCAACCCAGCGCTGCCCAGACTCACTCCTAGACCAGCCCTCACTAAGGGGGAGAAAAGAACACATCTGGAAGTCCCAAAGCCCTACCAACCACCTGAGGCACTAGAATGCCTCTACAGAGGAACAAGAACTGGACACAAGACCCAAAAGCAACAGTGTAGCCTGTTCCTCCGAGCAAGTGCCACCTACTGACAGGGAGGACATTCTGCACACCCTTTCACAGCACTTACTGACTCCTCATACAGGGTATGGTCAAATCTTACCCATAAACACCACCTACCAGCTCAGAGATTAAACAGGGCGTGTCAGTACCCAAACAGAAACCTAAAGGCAAGAAGCAACAACTGAACCAGATGGGAAGAAATCAGCGAAGGAACTCCAGAAATATGAAGAACCAAACGGAAACCACACCCCCCAAAGAGGAGCACCAGCCCCTTAGAAATGGACACCAACCAAAATCAGGCAACCAAAATGACAGAAGAGGAATTTCGTATGTGGATCAAAGAAAATTCAACGACCTGCAAAAACAAGTCAATAACCAACACAAAGAAACCACAAAAAGCCTCCAGGACCTAGAACACAAATTCACTAAATAAATTGAAACAAAGAAGAAAAGTTTAACCGAACTCCTGGAAATGAAGAATCAATTCAGGGAACTACAAAACACAGTGGAAAGCCTCGAGAACAGGGTAGATCAAACAGAAGAAAAAAATCTCAGAGATTGAATATAACACCTGCCAATTAAATAAATCAGTCACAGAGATAGAGCAGAGAAACAAGAGAAAAGAGCAAAGCCTACAAGAGATGTGGGATTATGTGAAGAAACCTAATGTGAAGTCATAGGGTTACCAGAAGGGGAAGAAGAAAACACTCAAGGGTTGGACAAGCTATTTGAAGATATAATAGAGGAAAATTTCCCAGGCCTTGCTCAAAATCTCCATATACAAGTTCAAGAAGCTCAAAGGACCCCTGGGAGATTCAATGCAAACAGGAAGACGTCAAGATATGCAGTTATCAGACTGACCAAAGTATCAACCAAAGAGGCCCTTCTATGAGCTGTAAGACAAAAGAAGCAAGTAACGTACAAAGGAAAGCCAATCCAAATAACACCAGACTTCTCTACTGAGACTCTACAAGCAAGGAAAGACTGGGGCCCCATTCTCACTCTTCTGAAACAGAACAATGCCCAGCCTAGAATCTTATTCCCTGAAAAACTAAGTTTTGTATATGAAGGAGAAATCAAGACATTCTCAGATAAGCAAAGACTAAGGGAATTCACCAAGACAAGACCAGCCCTTCAAGAAGAACTCAAAACAGTGTTACCCACGGAGCAGCACAATAAACACGAATGTAAATCTACTCAAAGCTAAAGATCAAAGCCCAGATACCACAATGGCTCAAGAGAGAAAACAAAGCAACAAAGTTCAACTCAACATAATGAACAGAAATCTGCCCCAGGTATCAGTTATCTCGATAAATATGAATGGTTTGAACTCCCCACGCAAGAGACATAGGCTGGCTGAATGGATACACAAACATAAGCCAAGTATCTGCTGCCTTCAGGAAACACATCTAACCTGCAAGGATGCAGTTAGACTACAGGTAAAGGGGTGGAGAACAATATTTCAAGCAAACGGAAGCCGAAAGAAAGCTGGCATGGCGGTGCTGATTACAGATAACTTAGTTTTTAAATCAACAAAAGTAATAACAGACAAAGAAGGTCACTATATAATGGTGAAGGGTACAGTTCAACAAGAAGACATAACAATTCTAAATATATATGCACCCAACCTTGGTGCACCCAGATTCATAAAGCAAACTCTACTTGATCTAAACAAATTAATAAACAACAACACCATAATAGTCGGAGACTTTAACACCCCACTGACAGCACAAGAGAGATCCTCCAAACAGAAACTCAACAAAGAAATAATGGACTTAAACAGAGCTCTAGAACAAATGCGCCTGACTGACATTTACAGGACATTCTACCCCCAAACCACTGAATATACATTCTTCTCATCAGCTCATGGGTCATTCTCTAAGATTGACCATATCCTAGGACACAAAGCATGTCTCAGACAATTAAAAAAAATAGAAATTATACCATGTATCTTTTCAGACCACAATGGAATAAATGTAGAAATCAGTCCTAACAGGAGTTCTCATTTCTACACAAAGTCATGGAAACTATACAACCTTCTGCTCAATGATCACTTCATAAATGAGGAAATCAAGATGGAAATCAAAAGATTCTTTGAACTAAATGACAAAGGAGACACAAGTTACCAAAACCTATGGGACACAGCTAAAGCAGTCCTGAGAGGAAAGTTTATTTCCATAAATGCCTATGTCCCAAAGTCGAAAAGATTACAAATAGACAACCTAATGAATCATCTCAAAGAGCTGGAAAAAGAAGAATAGACCAACCCCAAACCCAGCAGAAGAAGTGAAATCATTAAGATCAAATCAGAACTAAACGAAATTGACGACAGGGAAACTATACGGAAGATTAATAAAACAAAATGTTGGTTCTTTGAAAAAATTAACAAAATTGACACACCATTGGCTAGACTAACAAAAAGCAGAAAAGAAAAATCTCTAATAAGCTCCATCAGGAGCAATAAAGGAGAAATTACAACTGATGCCATGGAGATACAAGATATAATTTATGAATACTACAAAACCTCTATGCGCACAACCTGTGGAGGAAATGGACAATTTCTTAGAAACATGCAGCCTCCCTAGGTTCAACCAGGAAGAAATAGAATTCCTGAACAGACCAATATCAACTACTGAAATTGAAACAGCAATAAAAAATCTTCCTAAAAAGAAAAGTCCTGGACCAGATGGTTTCACACTCGAATTTTACCACACCTACAAAGAAGAACTGGTGCCTATCCTGCAGAAATTAT